CCAGATTCTCCTACTGGATCAGATTCTCCATTCTCTCCTCCAAATTCCACTCCAGTTTTACCTTATTCTTCTACACACAGTTCAGACAGTCTTTCCCTGATCCTCCTTCTTCAGGTTCTCTCCCAATGCCTTGAGAAAGCAAGCTCGTATTGTTAAGAAACCTGCTCACCTTGCAGATTTTCACACTTCCTTTCTTACCTCTTCTTCTAGTAGTTTTGACTCACATCTACTTTACCTCCTTTCCAGCACCATTTCCTATTCAAACTTATCTCCAGGCCACAATTTTTTTGCTCTATCCATCTCCCTTTCTCCTGATCCCCAAACTTACAATCAAGTTGCTCCTTATGCTTGTCAGAAGGCAATGGTAGAAGAAGTTCAAGCACTAGATGCTAATCAGACATGGGACATAGTGGATAGACCTCAAGGAATTAAACCTATTGGCAGCAAATGGGTCTATAAGACCAAGTTCCTGTCAGATGGTCACATTGATAAATTCAAGGCTAGGGTGGTTGCCAAGGGCTACACACAGATATTTGGGCATGATTATGTTGATACATTTTCTCCTGTTGCTAAGATGGCTTCTGTTAAGCTTCTTTTAGCATTTTCTTCCATTCATTCCTGGCACCTACATCAAATAGATGTTAGTAATGCCTTCCTGCATGGTGACTTGGAGGAGGAGATTTATATGGAGCTTCCCCCTGGGTTGAGAGAGCTAAGTCACATGTAGGGCAAGGTGTGTAAGTTGAAGAAATTCCTATATGGGTTGAATCAAGCCAGCAGGCAGTGGTACATCAAACTCATTGAATTCCTTTCTCATATGGGTTTTATACAGTCTTTTGAAGATTATTCTGTGTTTAAGAGTGCTACTATCATTTTGGTGGTATATGTGGATTATATCATCCTTGCTGGTCCATGCTTGGAAGATATTGAAGCAGTTAAAAGACAGTTGCAGTTTGGATTCAAAGTGAAAGACCTAGGTAATTTGAAGTATTTCCTAGGTTTGGAGATTTCTAGAACATCAAAAGGGATTTCATTATCCCAGAGGAAGTTTTGTTTAGAAATTATTGAAAATGCTGACTTTCTTTAGTGCAAACTGGCCAGAACTCCCATTAGTATGAAGACCTCCTTATCTGCTCCTTCATACACAAATTTACAGCTAAGTGGTTTCAGTGACTCGGGCTGGGCTACTTGCCCTGATTCCATAAAATTCATTACATGCTATTGTACTTTTTTGGGTATTTCCATTATAACTTGGAAGAGTAAGAAGCAATGGATTGTTTCAAGGTCATCTTCAGAGGCTGAATACAGAGCCCTTGCTCAATTGTCATGTGAAGTGCAATGGCTCGAGGCTTTACTTGAGTTCTATGGGCTCTTTCATCCTCAACCTGTCAAGGTTTATTTTGATAATCAATCAGCCATCCATATAGCTAAGAATCCAGTATTTCACGAGAGAACTAAACATATAAAATTCGACTATCATGTCAACCGAGAGAGGTTGAAGTCAGGCCTATTGAATCTACATCATGTTAACACTGAATTCCAGTTAGCAGATATCTTTACTAAAGGATTATCTGTTGACCGGTTTCAGTTTCTGTTAAGAAACCTGGGAGTACATGAAATGTACTCACCAGCTTGAGGAGGAGTATGAAGCACAGCTGCAGGATTGATCGACATTGGAGAAGAACTAGAAGCTTCTGCAGCTATTTCAGGATGAACATGTTGATCAAGCGGGTCGGGCTTCCTTTCACCCGACTAGGCTATGGAAATCGGATAAATAAATAAGAGGCTAAACGACACCGTTCGCCAAAGATTTGGATTTTGTAATTAGTGGTCATTGTTTTACACTTGGCACTCCACTATTCGTCATTTTAGTTAGATAGTTAGAGTTAGCCGTTAAAGTACAGTACATACATTTACTTTCTCTGTAATCAAAACCTCTGTATATATTCTGCTCAATGGAACTAGAAAAGGTATTCCACCGATTCCTACATTCTCGGCCTCTCTTTTTCACTCAAACCCTAGCATCTTCATAGCTAGGTTATAAACTTTATGCTGAAGTTTGGGTCACTTATTGTTCAGTTTATTTTCAGCAACCGGAATTCCGTTACACTGTATGAAGGCAACAAAACTGCTGAGAGTACCACAAAACTCACCTCTTGGCAGTAGGGGTGTTCAAACGGATTGGTTACCGTGGTAACCATATTAACCAGTAGCATTCGGTTAATTTGGTTTGGTTAATTTGGATAATTGGTTTGGTTAAACAATTTAGCTTATTTGGTTTAGGTGGTTTGGTTTAGACACTGCTAACCAGTGAAACCAATTAACCAATTAACGATACACCTAATACACAAAATTATTTATACTTCCATGCAACCAACCAAACCAAACTCTGGTGATTCCCTATTTTATTTCCATGTGCACAACAAACCAAAATATTATGGGTCAAAAATTAAATGGGTCTGCCTATTTACTACACCAAAACATTTTGGACAACTACTAGACTTTAGGATTACGTACAGTACCATGACAGCCACCTCAAACTATGTAAAGTTTAAGTATTTTGTAGGAGAGTTTTAACTTCCTAATGAGTGGTATTGGTATGTATTTAATACTTATGTTAAGAGTTTGTAGTAAGCTAACTATATTAGGTGCACAGATGATGAATGATGTATTAACTCGAATGATGATGATAATCATGGTTAGTCTTATTATTATTGTTTATATATAATGATAGCTTATGATAGAACATATGATTATGTTTTATTCATTAACAAGATAATTGTTTTCATGTAATGTTATATTATTTGGTTAATTCGATTATCCAATTAACCAAACCAATTAAATTTTGGTTTGGTTAATTTGGTTTTCGTTTTAATTTGGACGGTTTGATTAAGACATTTTATTCCATGGTTAATGAAATTTAGACTTAATTGGTTTGGTTATTACCACGGTAACCATTTGAACACCCCTACTTGGTAGTCCTTCAATTGTGATGCTCCTCCACTTCTTCATCAAAATCATCATTTCCCGTATTTTCACCGTTTATGGCGGTATGCGCTATCGTGAGTAAATTTAAATTTGAGCATTGCTATTCGTCGCCCTAACTAAATTATATTTACTTTATAAAAAAATTAAATTATATTTACTTTAATGCTCTTAATTAAACACTTAAAAGTTAAACCCAAAATAAACTCATATACTTTATTCATCTCGACTTAGTACGCTTGCCGTATAAACCATTGTCGAAAGGCAAACTCGATCGGCGATGTATTTTTTTTTTTTTTCCAGTAACTCTATTGATTCCTGCTCATTCCTTCCATAATGAACGAGAATCACCATGTGGATTCTTAGTTTTTGGTTTGCAGCGGCCAACTAAATTTTGAAGATGGTTGGACGGCAGGAGCATGTAATCGACAACGGCTGTGCTCTCCAGCGGATGGATGCTCAATTTTGGAGTGAAAGTTTTACTCCGCCAGAAATCTCTCCACCGGCGACGGATGTGCTTAGGAGATGCGCGGTTTTTTGGCCATCAGATTCATATTTTACCTTATGCTCCCGCCTTGCCGCAGTCAACCTCCCCGGCTACTCAATCTCCGACGTTAACCTTTTATTAGGGTTTAGAATTGAAATTGATTTGAGAGATAAATGTGTCAATTTGTTGTGTTTTAGGGTGATAAAATTTGAATTTTAGTGCGAGGAATAGCCATTCAGTTTGGGAATGTGTATTTCTAAGGGAATATAGTTAGGTTCATCAAGAGGATTAGAGGTGGCAATTTATAATCCAATCAAATGTATCCTTCTAAATATCCAACTAATCCAATCCATTTGATCCAAATACAATTAGATTTGTGGATTCATGCATCATTGGCATATTATGATTTAGTACCTATATTTTTTATATCTTGCAATTTGGAACCTAAAATTCATTTTTATACTTAAAATTTCATTTGAAAATTATGTTTTGATATCTAAAGTTTTTATTATGACATTTTAGTACCTAAACTTTTTAAAATTAACATATAGGTCCAAAATTTGGATGTCATTTGGATTGATTAATCAATCCACCAATCCATGTGATCCAATCCATGAACCCACCAATTCATTTGCCACCTCTAAATTTTAAAGAGGATGGTTTTGGAAATTCTCTGTCTGAATGATCTGCTTCCAATGGTGTCCTCCGGATTGACCCATAGGGTACTTCTCATACGTCTGTACCTCTTTAAGCTCAGGTGTGTTCGCAGCACCAATCTGCCTCTACCAGTTATGTTTTCATCTACAAATGGAAAATACGGGACGAGTTAGAGTGCTAAGTGTATAGGAGTTTGCACCGTATTAACCACTATAATCACAGTCATTACTTTTAATTTAAATCTAATGGTGAAAAATAAAGAGGGGCATATTTGGTATATCAAAAATTTATTTAATTTATAAATTAAGATTTAAAAATATTTTCTCTCCATTTTAGTAGAGATCTATTTTAGACGTGAAAAATATTAGGACGGAAAACTACTACTACGTTGATTAGTAGTGGTTTTGGTGGTTGTATTAGCAATTCTATTTTTGTTTGTAGTGATTTAATTATTATCAGTAGTGATTTAGAAATTTTAAAGTACTTGTAATCGTTGAATTTGAGAACGTAGTGATAACATAATCACTACTTATACGATTAGCAGGAGGAAACTACTATTGAAAACATCTACTCTTCAATCACTACTAGCACGAGCACATCACTACTACATGATTGCTACTAAAAAAAACATTATCATATCTGTAAAATCGCTACTATAGTACTGTTGTTATAAACCATTGTTGTGAGAATCATTACCACATATATGAAAAACCAGTATTACAAATTTGGATAAAACCAAAACCTAACTTCTCATCACTATTACAAAAATCAATTATTTTTCTTCCATTTATTATAATCTTTGCACATCCCACCCTCGGCAACCCACTTCTCCCGCCATCGATTTGAGCGGAATTCTCCATGTAACCGGCCATCATTGTTGAGGTGGAGGGGTAGCAATGGCGTAAGCTGAATTAAGGCGTTGGCCTTGTTGGCTTCCGATTTGAATAATCAGATGGCGACCCTCTCGGTCTCTCAATGTTGTTGCCACTAATTTCCTCCTCCATTGCCATCGATGCCCCTTTTTCTCTCGCCGACGCCTGCCTTGCCATCGCCCTGGACGAACCGCTTTGTGTCTTTGGTCCCCCGTGAGGAGATGGCGATCGATGACGTCTTCTCCTTCACCGCTATTTTCAATGACCACGTCGCCAGTTGGTGGAGGAGAAATATGGGGGGAGTTTGTGATCATCACGCCATTCATTGGAGAAGGAGAAATGGAGAACATGGCTGCAGCAGCTTGTGGAAAACTTGGTGGGAGGCCGACAATTTTCAGATAATGAGGAGAGGCGATGAGAGAATGATGTATATATATATTAGGGTTTAGGAGGAAAGGTTAGTGTTTTGACTAAATTTCCCTTTATTGAATTTCGACAATAGGATTAAGTTTGTATATCTAACGGTGAAAAAGTTGGTTAGCATGGTGCTAACCACTTTCCAAGGAAATACACTACCACTAAAGAATAAAAAAAGGCAGGCACGATCAACTGATAATAACATTTAGGGGAATCAAAGGGGTCATTTGGATGAGTTAAGTGTCAATGTGGAATTCGTAGAGTCAAATAACTCATTTATTGTTCATGTGGTATTTCAATGTTATTTTAGTGGTAATTAAAATAAAGTATCTCGTTTGGTTGAACCACGTAAATGTGGTATTTGACATGTGGTATTTGGTAAAAGCATAGTGATAAAAACGAGTTATTTTGAACTAATACATGGGTATGAGTTATTTCAAGTAAATCGTTTTGAGTTATTTGAAATAACTCATATCCAAATAACTCATTTCAGTAAAACGCTGCCAAACGAGTCATTTGTATCCAAATAACTCATTGTGAGTTATTTAAACCGAAATGACTCACAAATAACTCATACAAAATACTCCATCCAAACGACCCCTAAGTTTTGACTCAAAGGTATTATTAATAACACAAATAGGTTCAACAACAATAAAAAAAGTTAAGAAATGCAATTCGCAATACTGAGCATAGTGTGAAGAAACTTGACAGCAACCAACCTAGGTTAAGAGAGTGAACATTCAAATCACTTATTCGTTCACGCCTGATAACACGCTATCTACACATATTTTTCTCTTACCATTTGGATCGTTTAGGGTAGGTTTGTTGTAATTAAAGGCTGCTTTTACTAGTTGTGCTTGTTTGTGATATTTCAAGGCCTAGTTCGTGGAAGAAGTCTTTGAGGCAACTTATGGATTGAATGGAGCAAAGACGGATCCAAAGTTGCTGAGCGGATGATGAAGGATGGCCAAGGAGGAGAAGTTACGGTCACCGCCGTGACTTCCTAGTCTCAACCCTGACTTCTTTAGCCAACCCGTGACTCGACAACGGGGAGACAGAAGCCCCAAGATCAACTCACAATCACGACAATGAGTCGCTCCCTTAGTCACGGTCATGACCGTGGCTTGAATCCCCTATCGTGGCTCTGGGTTCACAGTTTCTAGAAACACTGTGTTTTGCCTGTCACGGGTGGAAGAGCTAAGTCACGGCCATGAAGTGGCCCATGACTTGCAAAACTGCAGGAAAACAAAATGCACCTCAAGAAACACCTAAGAGAGCTCTAGAGAGAGAAAGTTATGAAGAACAAGTCCTTTGAGCTTATTAGAGCTAAGATTTGGAGATTTAAGCTTGGATTTCGCCCCTCGGAGAGCTGATTATATACATCGTGATGAGTAGGACGCTTCGGTTGTTTTTTCTTCTCACTATTGAGTAAACCTCATTTTCACTTGAGTGTGTAGAACCCTAGTTTCATGTGTTAGGATCAGTGTTGTATGAACCATTGGATGTTGAAATGAATGATTATGTTCAATTGAAGTATGATCATTTGAGTCATTTGGATCTTGATCATGTTCTCTTTATTTTTGCTTTAACTTAAGATAGATAGAATCTGATTGGGTTAATACAGCTTCTTCGATTAGAAGTAGTCAATCAATTGTACTAGAGCCGATCGATTCATTACTTTGTACTGGAATTCATTTCAGTAGAGGAGATCTTCTTCTATTGCCTTAGCACCTTATTCCGGTAGAGGTTAGTCGCCCGTTGGGTATCGTGTCTACGAAGGCTTGGTTGGCTTAAGAGATTCCAAACTATTTTTGGAACTTCCGCAGTTTAATCATCAGTAAAAAAACTAAAAGGAATTACAACTTGAACCTAATTGAGGAGCTAGGGGCCACATACATGAGTGGCCTATCTTGCATTTCAAAATGATAACAATTTACTTGGTTTCTTTTCTGCTAAGTTTGCATAAAACTTCACTAAAACTGGATTGCTAGATAATAGAGAATTCATTGAGCAATCAAATACACCTAGAACCCGGGTTGACAAATAGAACTTAATCCACTTTACTACAGTCCCTTCCACAGGTTATACTTGGTCTGTGTTAGGAGTGTTATGTTTTTAATGAGTCAACGGCCGCACAATTCAAAAAAATTCTTGGTCGTTGGGGAGTCGAGAAGCTGAGAAATCGCAAAATAGTTTTTTCCATTTTCCAACTAAGCTTTTCATAATCGAGATTTATGTTAGAATTTTTCGTTACCTGTGGTTGTTGATTCTAGGGCTGGGAAAATAGACCAGGCCGTTTGAAAAACCGTGAACCAAACGAACCGCACAGTTTGGTCTGGACCGTAGACCGTTAAAAAATGATCTGGTCTGGTCCATGGTCCGTATGATATGATGTTTTGATTTTTTGGTCTGGTCTGGTCCAGACCGCGATTTATCATACCAAACCGTGAACCTAACCTAGACAGACACGCACGTCCAGGCCTAGTCAAGCAATTCCTTCCCACTTTGTCTTCCATTGCGCCCGCCTTTCTCATTCTAAAAAATCCTAACCTAATTCTATTCGGGTCCCACAAACATCTCGGCTCCACCAGCAAACACCAGTCCCCACTCTCCAACGACGGCAGCGTCTCCTGTCCGACTCCGCAGTCTCCAGCGCTCTACAAGCTGCTTCCCACTATTATTTCGATGAGGTCGCTGAGGTTGTGACAGGGTTGTGGTTCAGACAACTGATTTTGGGAGAGACGACAAACACACACACACACACACACACATATATATATATATATATATATAATGCAGTTAAAAGCGCGATTCTACCTAGAAGCGGGAAATGGGTAAAATCGTAAAACGTAGAATCAAAGCGTAAAAGCGTAAGTTTTTAACGCACCCTCTAAAATAGCTAAAATATGTTAAGTACAACATATAATATGCAAAATGTGAGTGTGTAGATTTTAGATAAGTGAATAACAACATGAAATTCATAATTAAAATGTAATATCTAACACATAAACCAATTTGTGTTGACTCAAAAGTAGAGAAAACTCATAACATCTTAATAATAAGCTCATAAACGTAGATCATAACCCGTAAACGACCTTGGGAATCAAAATTATCATAAGCTGGTTTGAGTTTACATAATTACGTACAATCAATTACCGTAAACTTTTATCGTAACACAGGTAAGAGCCACAGGTGAAGATTAAGGGAGAAGACTGATAGAAGGTCAACGGCTATTAAGAATACCATTAGGTGTCTTTTCAACCTAATGTGAAGCCACTATCTCGACATTAGTTGTAGAACGAGCGATGAATCATGTTTTATTTTTTTATTTTTTGCTGATATGTCTCCAAAATTACATCATTTTGGGCCAATTAGCACATTTTTATGAGATGATCAAAATCGTATAAAAACGTTTTGGAATCGCGATTTTACCAATTTTAAGCGATTTTACCAATTTTACCCATGTTTTTACATGTTTTTGTGACTAAGCGACTTTAGGTATAAACTGAAACGTTTTGGTGGCCTGGATACGTAAAAACGTAAGTTATTACGTTTTAATGCGCGATTTTGACTACTGGAGATGACAAGTTTTGCATAAAATAAAAGCAAAAAGTAAATACTAGAGATGACCAGATTAGCAGAAGATAAATACTGGAGATGACCAGTTTTGCATAAAATAAATACAGGAGATGACCAGTTATGCACGAAATAAATAAAAGTTGAAGATGATTTAAAAAAGATGAAGTAAAACTTGATAGTTTGATAGACTTCTTACACAGGAATTATTGAGAGAAGATGATGGGAGGAAGTTTTACAAGAGAGCAATTCCCACTCAAAACAACTCTACTTACAACAAGTGAAGAGAGTCTCCTTTTATAGAGAAATGGATTCCCTTTTGGTAAATAAATTGTAAATAAATTGAAAAACATAATGATGACAATGTGGACACTTATATGATTATGTCACATATCATAACAAAATTACATTTTTAATATAAAGAAAAATAGATAATTTGTGGTCTTCTTTCCATAACCAAAATGAGTGGATTGGAAGTGGAGTCACTTCTTCTTTGTCTCTAGGATAATGGGTTGGAAGTGGAGTCACATCTTCTTTGTCTTTATGGTAGTGGAAGAAGCAATGGGGTCACTTCTTCTTTGTCTTCAACTTAGTGCTCTTTGTTGGCAAAGGACCAAGCACTTCTTCATCCGGGTCATGGTTTTGGAACGTGGAATCTGCGTCAGATGTTGAGCTAGACGCCACATCTTTGAGAATTTGGAAGTATTCTTCTTCGGTCTTGGCGCCAGCTAAGAGAGCGCTGATTGAGGATTTTGTTTGCAAAAATTGCGTTGAGGATTTTTCGATAACTTTGGACAACTCAGGATTGTTATTGAACCATTAGAGGACTTGAGGTTTATAGGCTTGTTCTGGGCGAGGATTTGCAGCCCAATATTTGGTTTTGAAACTGCGGCCTAACATGGGTACCTTTGTGACGGCACATGTTTGGTAACTGAATTCCCAAGCAGTAATCCAAAAAACTTTGGTGTAGTAACAAAATTTGAGGAGGGGGAATCCTGGACCAGAATATTTTTGACAGAAGGTTTGATATCCCTCTTGTATCTCAGTTGGATAGATATTTTCAGTTGGCCCAAAAAGATCCCACCAGTGCATAAACCAGTTGGGGAAAATAAGGGGAGTTTTGTAATCGCAGAAAAAACTCCAGGAGTGTCGGTACATATGGTTTTGCTTGAAGAAGGCATTAATCCAAACTTCATGGTAATCCCAGTAATTGAAGGATTGGCAGATTTGCGGGTGGTTAAGAGCAATAGTAGCAGGGAATTTTTGGTCGGTGTTTGGGCTAGTAGGCCATTGGCGAGGGTGGATAATTTGGTGGATTTTGCAGGTTGAGTGGGTATTGAGTGTTTTGTCTGAAGGA